TATGACTTAAGGTAGATTTCATATGAGAAGAATTATAAGAAATTAAATTGCTTTACTGATGTCTTCTTATCTTCTCAGAATAAATATCACATATATCACTTCATCAAAGGGAGTCTCTTATCCCTAAACATAGGAAAAGGTCCAAGCTATGTACTTCTGCTATTATAACATACATTACTTACATCATACATACATACAACATCATCTTACTCCTGCTACTCAATTATCAGTGATCAACTAGATTTTAAGCTGTAAGAGGTGAAGAATAAAGGTAGTAAAAAGGTTACCTATGCAGACATCAGGGGGAAGAGCTTTCAGGAAGAGGATGCAAATGCAAAGAACTTGAGGTTGAAGAATACTTGGATGCTCAAGGGAAAAAAAACAGAATTAAGTGTGGCTGAAGTGGAGAGATTAAGGAGAAGAGATTGCAAAAATGAGATCAGAGAGGTAATGAAGAGCCAGATCATGTACAGTCTCTCAGGTTATAGCAAGAACTTTTATTTTTTCATGAGACAGGAAACCAATGGATGGAGGTAAAGGAAGGAAGGACTTACTAAGTTTTAGCAAGAACATCCTGACATCTGTGTTGATAATGGACTCAAAGGGGATAAGGTCAGGAGGAAAGAAATAAAGTGAGAAACTATTCCAAGAATTCATGTGAAACATGATAGTGGTTTGGACAGAATGGTGACAACAGGGGTAGTAGAAGTAGCAGAATTTCAGACATGTATTGAAGGCAAAGCAGACAATAGCTTAGTTTGAAGGTGTGAAATCTGAGATGCTTATTAGGCACACAAGTTAAAAAATGTTAAGTACACAATTAGATATACTCTTTCCTAGTGGCGCCTGGTGGCTCAGCTAGCTGGTTAAATGTCTGACTTGATTTTGCCTCGGGTCATGATCTCACAGTTGTGAGATCAAGCCCTGCATTGGGCTCCACACTGGGCTCCTCACTGGGCATGGAGCCTGCTTAAGATTCTCTCTTTGCCTCTCCCTCTGCCCCCTCCCTCGCTCATACTTGGGCACAGGAGCACTCATGCTTGCTCGCTCTCTCTCTCTCTCAAAAAAAAAAA